AATGAATCAGCCCTGCCGGCAGCTGGAGCAGCCCAATGACATGAGGTCAGTGGCTGGGCAGGGGAAGATTTAAAGCCCCTTCTCTCCAGGGCATGAACCCCTATGATTTGGCTGTTTCAGCAGCTGTTGCAGTCCTTGATGGCGTGAAATGTCAGCAATGGACTTTGCCCAACGTTTATGTAAACTCTGAACTGAGTGCAACTGTGGGGCCAAGCTATAAATCTCCCAGAAGGAGCAAGGTTGCAAAGCCTTCCAGGGCAAGATGAAGTTGGAAGCAGAGGGAGGCTGAATGTGTCTCTTGGCTCTCCATGGCCCTGAATGCAGCATCCAAGGGGATGCCGTCTTTGGAGAGCCTCCACCACCTAGCTGGCTGGAGATCTGGGTATCTGGCCCTGCCCTGTGCTTTCCAAGGGTCACCTGCTCCTTGTGGTTCCTCTGTTCTGTAGAGGGTCTTGGGCTCTTCAGAAGGAAATTCTATCTTGTGTCCCCAGATGTGAGCGCATGGCACTAAGGGATTTGGGCTGCTGACAGGACTCTGTAGGTCAAGTCAGTGATTGGAGTCAATGATCTTGAAGGTTTTTTCTAAACAAGCTGGTTCTATAATTGTACATCTGAATGGCTGAGCCATACTTTGGGCTGGCACAGAGGATTTGCTCCCCTTTGCCTCTTTCAGCTCATGGCTAAAGCAACATCTACTTGGCAACAAAGCTGGTGAGGGGTCTGGAACACAGGCCATATGAGGAGAGGCCGAAGGAGCTGGGAATGTTCAGCCTGGAGAAGAAGAGGCTCAGGGGAGACCTCATTGCTCTCTATACTTCCTGAAGGGAGGTTGTAGTGAGCTGGGGGTCGGCCTCTTCTCTCGTGTCATTAGTGATAGGACCAGAGGGAATGGCTTCAAGCTACGGCAGGGGAGATTCAGGCTGGACATGAGGAAGTCTTACTTTTCAGAAAGGGTGGTCAGGCACTGGAATGGACTGCCCAGGGAGGTGGTGGAGTCACCGAGCCTGGGGGAGTTCAAGGAAAGGCTGGATGTTGTGTTGAGGGACACGGTTTAGTGGGAGCTATTGGGAATAGGTGAACGGTTGGACTGGATGATCTTTTAGGTCTTTTCCAACCTTGGTGATTCTATGATTCTATGATTCTATATCTCGGTAGCTCCTCCCCAGCTTGGATCTCCAGCCTCACTGCAACCCTTATGCCTGGTTTCAGCTCTTCCCTATAGACAGAAATCAGATGAAGTTATGTTCTCCAGCTCTCCACTAAATTTTCAGACTGCTGAGTAGCAGCACTTTAAAAATTGCAATATACAAAGTCCCCAAAGCAAAGGTTGTTGTTCTTGGGAGATAATTGTTCTTAAGTACAAATTGCTTTTGAAATTGGAGGTTTGGCATCTGTGAAGATCTGCCTGATGTTAGGCAAGGGGCAGCAGTGGAGGTGCTGGAACTGGTGTTTGCAATAATTACTGGTAAATGTGTGCAAATGAGAAGGAAAGAACTTCACTGGTAGAACTGCACTAAGTTAATTTTGCAAGTCATGTTTTTTGATGTCAGTGTTAATACAAATTTCAGGCTTGTTCACTCAGATTTAGAGGATGTGAAAGCAAGGCCCTGTGCTCTTTTAAATGTGTGCAAATGGTAAGAAAAGCATCACACGATCCCCAAAATGTGTGTTAAAAGGAGAATCACACTGCACTGTGGCTTTCTCTCAGCAGATGTATGGTCCCAGTCACCTGGGCCAGACCCCATCCCTGAGGCATTATCCACATCCCGTTGTGTGCACGTGAGGCCAGACCTGCATCCCCGAGGGGAGGAAAAGCCCAGCCTGGGGAATGTCAGCAAATTAACAGATCAAGCCATTTCTCCTCCAAAACTCTGCTGGCTTCTTCCCATCCAGCTGTGCTTTACCCCGTGGGCTTGACCCCTTTTCTCGGGGCTGGAGTTCAAGTGACCTACATCTAATTTCTCACTGCCTTCTGATGAGTGTTTTCATAACTCTTTTCTCCTTCCCAGCTTTGGGAACCTGCCAGAGCTTGGCCAAAGCTGAAACCCTTCTGCTCTTTAACACAGTGGCTGCTCTCTGCGGGATGCTTTCTGCAGGCTCATGGAGGCAGGAGGCAAGCAGAAATCAGGGCTGGTGGTGTTGTCATGGTCTTACAAGTGGTTGGAAAGCACCAGGATTAGCTTGGGACCATGCCAAAGGATGGTGTCTGACAGTGATGCAGGTGGATGGTCCCTTTCTGAGGGGCTGTGGTGTAAGAAGGGAGGGAGGTGGGTGTGGAAAGGGAGGATTTGCTGGATCATCACAGTGTTCTGCTCATACCTGGACCTGGGAGGCCATAGGCCAGTGGTGGAGCCATAGCTCTCTGTCACCAAAGGCTGAAGGGGAGTGGTGGGATGGGATTGGGGGTGGTAATAGTGATGGAGCTGGGAAAGGGGATGGGAGTGGAGATGGGGAGAAAGGGCCTGGGCCCCTGCATGCCTCGAAGTGGGCAGCAGGAGTGGGAAACTGCACTGGGAATGGCAATGGTGACTCAGTGAGAAAATGTTGACTTACCCACCACTTACAGCCCCTGTAAAATCCATGCATGGAAAAGGAGGCATTACCACCCATGTCCAGCTCCACCAGGTGAGAATCTGCAGGAATCATCTGACCCTCGGTGAGACAGGGAAGCCATCATGTGCGCCTCAGGTCCAGCAGCCATGGATTTGGGAATAGCTGTGGGCCCAGGAACATGGACAGGAGCTGTCTGTTGATGCCTCCACTTGCTGGATGTCCCTGCAGCCTGCTGATGCTCATCCTACATACGAGAGCCTGTGCTGACGCCAGCAATGCTGCACTCTGACACAGGAGCAGCAAAATACTGGGTTTGGCCTCCTGGGCTCACTTTGATGTGCTGTGGTGCTGCCCCAGCTCACACTATTCCCCAGAGCAGACCCTCCCCTTTCTCAGTAGCCATGAGAAACGTCCTCCTTGCGGTGTTTCCAGAAGGAAAAAATGTCCTTGGCTGCTGTAAATAGCGCAAGGAAAGGATTTCTCATGGTCTGTCGAGGACCAGCATTTCTGCTGCTCTAGCCTCACAAGCTCACAGGGCAGATGTCAGTGGAGAGCCCTCCTCCATGGCCAGGCAATTCCCATGCTGCTGACCTCGTGAAGGCTTTGGGGTCTCCCAGGAGCCCCAGTGACTGAAGTGCTGGAAGAATCCAGAAGATGAAAGGGAACGCGGATGTGCCCACTTTGCATGTGGCCAAAGGAAGCTTGGATAGAGAGGTTCATTGACCTCAAGCTGCTGGGTAATGTGGTGCTGAACCTATGGGTGTCAGTATGGAATGCAGTGGGGTCACCACCTGTGGAGGTGTTCAGGAACAGTGGAGATGTGGCACTGAGGGATGTGGTCAGTGGGCATGATGTTGGGGGGATTGGGGTTGGCCTTGGTAATCCTAGTCCTCTTTTTAGTGCTCTTTTTCAATCTGAATGATCCTGTAACTGAAAAATGGGCAATGGGAGAAGGAGGACATTTCCTATGGAAAAAGAAGCCCTCTCCCTAGGACCTGCACTCCTGCTCCCACACCATAGTGCATCAGCCCCATTGTGCCCATGTAAGGGAGATCTGGCAAATGAAAACTTCGGTCCCATAATCAAATATTATTTCAAAACTAATGACAAACATCATCTGTTTCTGAAGCGGTCTTGTTTAAAATATTTCCCCTTCATACTCTCGAAATAGCAGTAATTGAAAACGGTTCTTTGAAACGCCAGTGCATACTTCTTTAATTATGTCTCACGCCGCCTGTTTCCAATGGAAGAGCCCTATCTGTTTGCATTTACCGGCCCTTATGAAAAACAGGCTCGGGCCCAAGTCGGCTGGAATCGAAAGGAGGAACGTTTCCCTTCGGAGGCATCATCGGAGCTAATGAACTTGAATCACGGCAGAAACATCTCCGCGAGCTCAGCCCGCCCCCGCCCCGCTGCGCTGTGCGGCTCACCCCGTACCGTCAGGGGGCGCTAAGCGTCCGCGGACCGCTGCCGGCGTTGGGGCGGAGCGGTGGATGCGGGTGGGGGATGCCGGTCCCTAAGGAACAAACCTAAGCCTAAGGAACAAACACGCCTATCGGTATGGGTGGATGTTGGGGCTTTATAGACCTCGGTTCCCCCAAGCAGCCCCACCTGGGCCCGTATCTTCGCGCTCAGGAGCTCAGAGCTGTGCAGCATCCCTTTTCTGAGCTCTGCCCATGTTGAATTGTGTGTAGGGTGTGTTCAGTTTAATGCCTTTCTTATGGCCTTAGAGTGTAGGTTTTTTGTTTTTTTTTTTTCTCTGTGCAGGTAGGATGCTTCCAAGAGCCTCTTCCTCAAGCCTCAAAGCTGGAGTACTGCTGAATTTAGGCTAGCTGGCACCGTACTGGATCCTGCCAAGCCTGAATGCTCACAGACCCATAAAGAGCTGCATGAAGCTGCAAAACAGTTCTGCACTACTTGGATTCCAGAGACCAGCGGAGAGTAAAAAATTCAGCAAGCTAACAGATATTTTAATCCGAATGCCCATTGTCCTGGAGGAGAGGCAAACTGCACAGGGGAGCTCTGAGCAGACACCAGGGCCAATGCCCCATAAAGGATTTACATGGCTAGGAGATTACAAATGGTCAGAGCCCAAGGACAAGCTGTGGGCTCCAGGATCATAGAACTGTTTGAGTTGGAAGAAGACCTTAAAAGCCATCTGGTTCAACTTCCCTGCAGTGAACAGGGATACCTACAGCTCCATTGTGTGCTCAGAGCCCCATCCAGGCTGACCTTGGCTGTCTGCCGTGACGGGGCACCCACCAGTCAACAAAAATGGAGAAAATGCTGTTTGCAAAGCTCTTTGCTGGGACAGCTAAAAGCTACAGGCAAAGTGATTGCTTGCCTTGCTGTCTGGTCCACGTGCACTTGAGATTTATTGGTTGATAGCAGAAGAGCAAATGCACATCTAGTTTCAGATTCTGTGCAAATGAGTTGTAATTGTGGTTAATGGTTGTACTGAAGTGCATATTTTTTAACCAATATGACAGCAATAAAAATATGATTTAGTAATATCACTACAGCACAAAGGGAGATCAGTCTGAGCTATCTGCAGCTCAGGGTGGGCTCACTGGGATTGCCCATTGATCTGTGCACAGGGAGTGCTTGAGGCATGCAATTGGCACACAGAGGAGTGTGGGTCTTAAAGAAGAAGGGGCTGTGTGACTTATTCTGCTGCTCAAAGCCATTCATTGTGCACAATGAGGAGTTGGGTGGTTTCACTTCTAAACCAGTCTGATCTCCAGCACTGCCCAGGAGCGGAGCATGGGAAACATATATGGGTTGCCTGTAAAGTGAACAGGATGAAGAACACAAGCATAAGGGTGTTCTAGCAGTAGCTGTGTTAATCCTGAATACGTGATATGAGGAAGTTGTAAAAGGTGATATCTCCCACAGATATATGGCAGGTAATCAAATACAGTGTGAAGAAAGCAATCTGCAGGGCAAACAAAACCAGGCCAGAAGTTCGGGCTGAGGCAGCTCCTCCAGGCTGGCCCTGTGGAACAGCGGTGGTTCAGCATCCCAAAAGAGCAGAGCCAGTTGCTATGTGAGAATGGATGTAAAAACCAGGGTGCAAGTTGGGCTTCTTCAGCTCTCACTGAGGCTGGTGCCTCATGAATTACCATGTCATCACAAATCTATGCACAAGGAGGAGAAGCCAGGAAAAATCACCCACTCAGTGCTGTGTGTATGGGCTGCTGCACCCAGAGATCATCCCCAGGGCCAGTGTTGTCTTTCAGGGCGTAGAGAGAGACATTGTCTTCTATGGCTGGGTTTCTTGTAACTGGCAATTAGCAATCCTAAAACCATAATGAGGCAATTTGATTCCTTGCTGCTGGGGAGCAGCTGCGATCCACAAAGAGAAAAGGGGTCTTGTGCAATGCCCTTGGACAGCCAAGCATTGAGGGTATGAGCAAATGTCCTGCTTTGCTTTGGGGAAAGCAGCTGGAAGTGTCCAGCTTGCAAGAGCCCCTCTCCTGTTGGCACCACCTCATCCTGTTGGCTCTACTTATCTGTGCTGCTGGGGCAGGTGGGGTGAGGGTAAGGTATAGGAGTTAGTTGCTGCCATCCTGCTCCAGACTGGCTGAACCAGGTGCCTTCTGTACAGGTATGCCTCTCCTGAGGACAAAAGGGATGTGGTTAATTAGCAGGAATTATTCAGTGGTTAAATCCACAAAAGCTGTTTCAGGCAGGCTTGGTGACAAAGTGTTTTTTGCTGAGATTTGACCTGTGGTGTCTGGTTCTGTGCATGAGGACTGGGTTTGTTCCTCCTTGGCCACAGTAGTCTGTAAAAAGTGAAGCTGGAGGCGGACATTTAGGATGAATCATAGAATGGCTTGGGTTGGAAGGGGCATCAAAGATCACCCAGTTCCAACCCCCTGCCATGGGCTGGATGCCCCCCACCAAATCAGACTGTCTGGACCCCCATTGAGTGATGGGGCTCTGGCCTTGACACCTCCAGGGATGGGGCAGCTACCACTTCTCTTCCCATACATGGAACAAACCAAATGGGTTGCCCAAAACCAGGCTGCCTCTGGCCTTAGCAGCTGTTATAAAGGCGGCAGCAGTCCCCTTTGTGGCACTGACAGAAGCAGGGTTTTACTCATGCAATAACAAAGGCACGTCCCTGAGTCCTCCGCTCCTCCTCCCAGGTTGTGTAAGAATTAAACACAGAAGCCAGGTAAACATTGGAACCCATTTTTGCCAGGTGGTTGCTCAAGAAAAGAACAATCTCATACGAAGAGCCAGGTACCTTTGGACATTCATCCTGCAGCTCTGAGCTGGGCAGCCTCTGACAGCTTCAGTGGTGATGAGAGTTGGGTGCGAGAGACGATGGAGTGGATAAGGTTTCACCTGAGGGTCTCAGCCATTCCTCAGTGCTCTGAGGATCCTGCCTACATCCCCTGGAAAATAACATGTGGGCAGGAGATAAAGTTAAGAAGAACAGAGAATCTGCTAATGGGTAGTTACTGGTGAAGACAAGGAGGTGGTCTGCAGGGCATCCAGCTCCAATGCTGGGTGGTGGTGTGGGGGTTAGAGGAGAGCTTTTACCATGGAGGATTGTATTTGAAACTGATGCAGCTATACCTGGAAAAGATTTCATGGACTTCTGAGGGGCTTTGGCCCTGTCTGGAGTGCTTTGGGTTGCACTTGCAGAAGAGAAAAGGTCCTAGGGTCTTCTGAACAGGAGCTGTCCCAGGACTGAGAGGGGAAAGTTAAGAAGAGATGCCTTGGATTTCAGCTAATGGATAGAGCAAGACAAGGTCTTGCAGCCGGAAGGATTTTGCTCACAAACAATAATGAAGAGGAGGGATGCGGAGAAGGAAATGAAAAATGTGTCATTAACCATTCCTCCAAAAACAAGAGGGATGCAATTAGTGCAAATGGGAGGTGGGTGCTGCCCATTGCCTCCCGCCTCAATGCGATGCCAGCTGCCTATTTATTGTCCCCACACGCAGGACTGCTGGGATGTTTCCCATTTGGCACTTCAAAGACAGGCAAACAATGGGGCTGTGCTTCAAAGAGTGAGGGCTGAGGGACGAGAGGGGCCCTGCAAGGCAGGCGCAGTGCCTCTGGAAGCTTTGCTCCTCTCTTGCTGCCAGCAGCACTAGGAACCCATCCATAGCTTTGTGGTTTCAATGGGTTTTGTGCTTCCCAGCAGCTCCCCAATGGGCATAGAGCATCCTTTCGGACCTGCCCATCTGCTGATGTTCATCCTTCAGCTTTTACACCTCAGCTGCAGCACAGTGCCTGCTCAAGTCCTCTTCCAGCCTAAGCTGCACACTGTTAATTGAGCTGGAAACGTAGGTTTCTGTGAGATCACTTTTTTCCCATCTGCTGTTGCTCTTCTGGAGGTTGAGAGCTCCTCTCTGCTTCTTCTTTCCTGTAATGCCTGTTAAAAAATCAAATAGGAGTCTGCAGATGCTGGGCAGATCTACCTTTGGTGCCATTAGAAAAGTTAAGATTTTTGTTATGTTTTTACAGACTTCTGCGCACCTTAACTTCTCTCTCTTCTTCTGCCTACCCATATCTTTGTTTTCCCTTTCTAGAGAGGAAAAATGGAAGAAGATATCCAAGATCTTCATTTTTAGGACAGTGGCACTGGGGAAATGACGAGTCAAGAGGTCCTTGACCTTTTTGTTCCTGATGCTTGGCAGCTGTGTCACTGGGTAATGATTGACTCCTCCTACACTCCTGCTGCCCTCTCTCTGCTGTCCTCATGCCAGGCAGGCACTGCCATCCTCTCTTTGGTTCCAAGTGTCTTTTTCTAACAAATGTCTTCATTTGCAGAAATCGTCCTCCTCCAGATTATGTCCTTCTGGACTCAAAAGGAAGAGCCACATCTCTTCTGGGGGGGAATCCAAAAAGCCAGCTTGGCAGGTTGTGTGCATTAAGTCCACTTAATCATGACTCCATAACTGTCCCCTTGAAACCCAAACCAATTTGTCAGACAGTGGAAAAATTAATTATTTCTTTTTTTGGTCTGGTTAGTTAGTTGGTTGCTCAACCATTTTGCTGGCATTCTCCATTCTATTTTATTTGAAGCGGAGGCCAGGAATTGATGGATGCACTTTCAGTGAGGAAAAGATGGAGAGCACAGAGCTGGATTTGGGCTTGCAAACAAACTTCTTTATGCTTGCCTGTGTTTTGTCCTTTTGCAGAGATGTCTTCTGAAAAAAAAAGACATTTGATCCATTTATTAGAAATGAGTCAAATTTGAGGCAATGGGAAATCATAGAATCACACACCACCTCTCTGGTCTGCCTGTTGTAATGCACCATCACCCTTTCTGAGAAGTTTTTTTCTAATATTCAACCTGAACTTGAGAGGAAGAATGTCTGCAATAAGAGATCCAGATGCACTGAATTAATCATTCAACTATGGGAAAAAAATTTAAACCAGAGAGCTGAGGACTTCTCTCATAACCCAGATCTTTGGTCACAGTGCAGTTTCTACCTATCTATATAAAACCTGAAGGATCAACTGAAGGTCAATTTTTCTCCTGCTGTCCTCAGTGGGCAGGAGATCAATGCAGGGAATGAGCAGAGTTGTGCTCAGTGTAGACAATCAGTTACTTCAATAACACAACCACAACATTCCTTCCATGTTTCTAGGTTTTGGGATACAGGATGCTGTAGGGACAGCATGCTTAGCTGTTGATAAATTCTCCAGAGCTGGTTTGAGTGGCTGATGCACTTGCACAGAGATATAAAATTGCCTGGGATCAAATCCTTTATGTGTCTCAGCACACACATCCAAATTTGAGAGACTTAGCAGAGCATACCAGAGTTCTTATACATGACACTCAAGGCAGTGAAATCAGCCAGCCTTGCTTATTAACTACAGTAAGGACTTTAGTTTACTAGGCCAGTTCTTAGTGCTTTGTGAAACTCCTGTTTTGGGGATACAGTGATTACAAGGCAGTGGAAGGCTGTGATTCAGGTTTGAACACTGGTGTCTTTTGGGGATAGACACAAAGATAGTAGGAGGCTATTTTGGTAACTCTCTTCCTAAGAATTATTTTAGTACAGTTTTGGCTGTTTTTATTACTGTGGTTAAATGTACTTACTTTTCTTCTTTAGAAATATGTGATGTCAGGCATCTGGAAAATGGTATTACCCAAAATAATTGGAAAAGCTATTATAAAGGTGAAAGAGCTAAATATTTCTGCAATACAAATTATCGTACTGACAATGAGGATGGTGAAATTATGTGCACAAAGAGTGGCTGGTCACCTACTCCAAGATGTATCCATAAAGGTGAGTGTGCTTACTTTACTTTTGTCCACATCCTGGAATGAGCCATCCTTTTCATTTTTTGGTGAGCTTGCGTTGCTGTCTTGATGGATCTGAGACTCTCGTGCGTTATTTTTTTTGTAATTGATCCAGTGGTGCCGTATTGCAGCTGATGGATAGGAACAGCTAACGTGTTTATATGGCATTGGTGTATTGCTTGTTGGAGAGGGGTTTACTGCCCTACTTGACAGAGCTTTGTAGAAGATACGCAGATTTTTCTTGAAGTTCACTTTCCTAAGAATTTTTTGAAAGGCAGTGTGTGCAGCACAAGCAGCTCGGTGCAGCAAGGGATGATTCTTTGACCTTGAAATGCCTTCAACACAGAGATTTTTCTTTAACTTCACCTAATTAATTCAGCCAAGCTCATGAAAATGAACCAAAGCAATACACTGCATTTGTGTACTGTTCATGGAGTCTGTCTGTCTCGGTATTCACGTGGGATATAAACATGAGTTGAATTCTAAGAAAATAAAGCAAGTGAGTAGTACCTGATTTTCCTGTTGTTGCTTTTGCTGATAAGGGAAATTACAGGACAGCTAAAGCCTTGCTTTAGTCACTCCATTACCAAATAATTGGACATAATTTCTTGGAATAAGATCTCAAGAGAACAAAGGCCTGCTGACTGCCTTTGCACACACAGATCTTTAGTCGCAGGAACTTGGAGAAAAAGGAATCTTTCAGCTGAAGACTGGGATGAATCAATGCTGAAGGTCCACTAGAACAGTAGGGCTCTGGTGTAGGGTGCAAGTACCACTGTGCAAGATAAATCCATTGAGAGTAGCAAGAAACTATTAAAGCTTCTGTTAGAAAAGGGAAGGGAAGGGA